GAGAGAGAGAGAGAGAGAGGACCAAGATATGGCTAAAACTCACCCCACAACCAGTGTCAAGAGCAGTTCGGATGGTCCCATCTTTCATTCCAGGGATCAACTTCTGCATTAAATCCACGTATACTCCTACGCCTCTGGGAAACATGGTACCACCACCAGGAAAGAAAAACTTTTCCCCTTCTTTGTGTAGCCAGTGCTGATTGGATTTCTGGTTGTTAATCCAGTCATAAGGAACATTCCTGCGACAAGTTCAAATGAAATCTTTGGCTCCAAATGAGAACAAGAATAATCACTATATGTTAAGGTGATCTCTCTATGGAAGATGAAGGTCTGAGTGAAACGAATACTAACAAGCTGCTAATGTAGTTCAAAGTTCAAGCAATAACACGAAACATGATACAAATATTCTCAATTTACCTGTACCAACACTCATTTCTGCTCTTGGGCCATTTAATCGGTGGTTTATACCCATCAGGTGGGGGGACTAGGCATTCTTTTCTTTCAAATGCTGGAGGGCAATGGCGTTCCATTAAGGATAATCGGTGAGCACTAAATTTCCTCCATCTCTGTTTGCAAGAGAGAGAGAGAGAGAGAGTATAGTAGTATGAGATATATCTTCACGAACATAATCATCAATTAAACTCAAAGTACCTGTTTCTCGAGAAAACACTATACTAATTAATCATGTATCCATCCATGCATCGATAGCATGCATCGATAGCATGATAATATTTAAGTATACCATAGTCAATAAGAAGGAATAAAATACCAATTTGTAACCTATACATGTACACACACACAATTGTGTCCAATTGAGGATGGTGTCATTGTGGAAACTGATAAGGTAGCAGGTTATATATAGTACACACACACAATTGTGTCCAACTGAGTCTAGTGGCATTGTGGAGAGTGGAAACTGATAAGGTAGAAGGTTTTTCCTAGCCATATTCAAGTAGTTACATCCCAGAATCTTTTCCACGGTTCTTTGCATATTTTCTATTAAGTTTTTGAAGCCTAGAACCCTTAGGGCGCATTTGTTTTTTGGAAGACGGGGTTTTAGAAACTGTGTTTTCCAGGGAAGTGGGATACCGCAAGTTCTATGGTCACAGTATCCTTAAATAAAAACTAGCACTTCCCTATTATCAAACAGGGAAGCGCTACAGTACTAGAAGACATGGTTTCCAAAATCACGTCTTCTACAAAACAAACACGCCATTAGGGATCTCTACTTTCAAAGATAATTATAATTTCAAAAGATTCTTTCCTAAACAAATAAAACGACACAACTATCTTAAGATCAAAAACTTTGTCTGGATTTCTTCAAACCAACTCAAAGATCCTTCATCCCCGCCACAATGAATTTGTCAATACCTTTGGATCAGTGCATGGAGTGTAGTCTTGAAATTTAATGCCACACTCTGGGAAAGTGACCGTCTTAGTTTGAGAAGAGAGAGGCGCAACTTTCAATGGAGAGGTCAAAGCCAAAGCCAAGTCGGTCCCTAGTAACTTGTGCTTTTCTGAGCAAAAGATGCCACCCAGATAAAATGAAAGACCGCAGAGTAAGACAAGCATCAGAGTCAAAGGGACCATCCGTGACCACCTATCAGGATAAGAACCAGGCTTAAAGTCTTTGTCCTTCATTTTCTTTTTCTCTTTTGGCTACAAATCAAATACCTGCAAAAAAAGGATCAAAAGGTTAAAACTGACCAAACTAGCTGCTGTCACATGCTTTACATTTCATACATGAACAGTAATACAAGTCACAAATATAAACATTCATATGTCTGTGTGTTGCACTTGGGCATAAAATGTGAAATACCAGAACTATGATGTATAGATGCCTAATCTCATAATGATCAAAATGACGATATAAAAAAACCACAAGAAGGCATAGTAGCTGTAAATTGCTAACATGCATGTGCAAATATCTGAGACAAATAGAAACATAACATCTGTATTAAGATCTGATTCCTGAGAATTTAAAAAGCAGGACCATAAGAGGCCCCTCAATTTGCACAGGCATACACAGGGAGACACACACACATGCACAGAGAGAAAGAGACAGAGAGAGAGCTTGATGATCCTTGGAACAATTGCAAGCAATTCCTATTCTAAGAGCATTGCCATTCTGCTTTCCTTGGAACAATTGCAGGCAATTCGTATTCTAAGTGCATTGCCGTGTTGCTTTCCTTGTAAATCTCTCTCTCTCTCTCTCTCTCTCTCTCTCT